GTGGTAGCAGATGGCTCCAGAAAGCCATCATTGAGGAGGAAGTATTAACACCCACATTTCAAGGCCAGAGAATTAGTCCAGCCAGAGGATTAGTCTAGCCCAGTGGTTCTCTGCCAGGGTTCATATGGGCCCTCGGGGTCCATGTAACATTACTGGGGGTCCACACACAAAAAAAATAGCAAATTGGGAGTCCACAGTAATATTTTAGTGGTCCATAGAGCAATTTCACTTCAGAACAGTTATTACAACTGAAAATTGGAATTTCTAAAGTAATCTACACTATATTAAAATACTAAAAATAGGAAAACAACTTTAAACCTAGCAGAAAACCTTCATTGACTTGCAGAGTGATGAAATATTGCAAAATTTAAAGAGGGAGTGTATAATATATGAAAGACAAATGATGCTAAAAATATCTACTACTCTGGGAAAAAGCACAGCATGTTATTGCATTTCCATAATCTTATCTTATTAAATAAGGTTTTAGTCATGTGTCTCATTTACTGTCAAAAGCCTGTAACAGACTTGACATTATGAAAAGGGGTGATTTTCAACTATCATTGATATCGATGGAGCTGAATATAAAAAATTTGCAGAGCAGCATCAACAAAAGAGATTTCACTGAGTTATTTTACTAGTGTACATAAATGTTTCATAGAATTTAGTTAATACAGGTTCATTTTCATTCAATTAGTTTTATTTCAAAATAAAGTGTATACAGTTTATATGTTTATAATACAATTCCTAAGGCTATCTATTAATAAAAAATAAAAATAAGCTTTTCTTTCATCAAATGGTTATGGGGATCCACCAAAATAAAATTAAGAGTAAAAGTGGTCAATGGGTAAAAAAAGGTTACGAACCACTGGTCTAGACAAAGGGGTCATAAATAATCATGGGGAAAGAAACAAGAGCTGACAGCTATAAGCAGATACAAACCACAGAAAATTTTTTCAATGTTGTCTAAAGAAGAATTTGAACAAAACAATTTTAACTTTCCAATAAAGGATTACATAAAGCCCTCAAGCAATGACCTGTGGAAAAAAAACAAAACCCCTTTGTGCTATTTTGTATTCAGTTGAAGAAATTAGGTGGATGTGATTTTGTATTTTCTGCTTTGTGCAATTTGTTTTCTTCAAAGATTTTCCCTTTTTTTTTTCATTTCTAAAGGGTTTAATCTGTTTTTGTCATTGAATCCATGTCTTTTCCTAAAAACTGTACCACCTTTTTTCTTTTTTTGATGGTAATCCTTTTTTGAAACATCTGAAATTTGCTGCCTTAATAGGTGCACAAAGATTTTTATGCAAATTTTGTATTTGTACCTTTTTTGACCTTTAACTGCATCTTAAATGTTTTTTCTTTAAAATCTTGCGCAGTCTAACTCTAGCTCTTTTTAAGATGTAGACAAAAAACACCGTTGATGTGGCGTATTCACTTCTTTTGTCCTCTGTTGACTTTGAACTCTCTTATACATGCACACGTCTATCACGCACACTTGTTACACACAAAAACGATTACATTCTCATCATTAGATTCAATGTCTTTTCCTTTCATTACAATTGTCTACACATGCAAATACTTTTAATACATCTCTTACGACACGCATTAATTCTCGTTTGTTTTAAATTCATTGTTTTGCATCTCCTTTATTTTAAATTCCATGAGTCCACCAATGTTGTTTGTGAGACAAAAGTTCCAGGAGTCCATAAATACTTACTATAAATCATCCATACACTTTGCAAACAAAGCGGTGATACCTGCAGCATAATGGTAATTTTACCCAAATATCATAGAATCCTATAATGTTGTAGAGTAGTTTTCACAATGGAGGCTTGTATTTCATTAAGTCGGTCCTAAAAGGGCCCGACGTACAAAACATTAGGAACTTGAAATAATAGTTAATGACGCAGCAATCTAGTTGTGGGGGTTGATACTTTAATGTCCGACATCGACTGACATACCAACTCCACTGAGCCCTGGCGACTACTACTACTACTACTTATTATATGTGGGAGAGTCAATTAACAATAGAATAGGTATGTTCCGGTATAACACATAACAAAGCTGTAAGATTTTTTCTATTTTGAAAATAATACAATTTGCTTCCTAATTTTTTAACAGTGAAAATCTTATTTTTTTTAAATATCTTAATAATCTTTTTCATCAAAAATATTTTCATACTTCAGGCTAAAAAGATAATAAATTCATACTTATTTTATACTAGCAGTAGAGCCCGTCGTTGCCCGGGGATGTAACAGTAAGAGATAGATCAAGTATCGACCAACATAAAGACTGAAAAATAAAATTGACAAAGATTATTGTTTAAGGTTGATGGACACGCATGTCTTAATTAGTTTTTTTTGTTTTTTTACGAATTGGTCAAACCCAAACTCAAACAAAAACATTGTTTTCAATCGTTATGAGTCTATCGATTGTATAGAATTTTATTATAAACAATTGTCTTGTAAATGGAATTTTTAAAGCATTTTGAATGTAAAAATAACAAAAAAGTGTGCAAGGCAATAAGAAACACTACCTGCCAAAAAAAAAGTGAAGTTTTGTTGAAATCGGTTGAGAAATGTAGGAAATCCGATCCCATATATAAACGAACACACACACACAAACAACCTGGGTTTTATAAGTATAACTCGATATGAGTTGTCCCCCTTTCATTCCGGAGAGTTATGCCTCTTAATCGGGTTTTCAAATTGATTTCGTACAAAAACAATTGTGTTTTTTCAATTTTTGGTGCTGTCAGAACCACCGCAAGGTAATTTTACGTAGTCCTGTGAAGTTTTGTTGAAGTTGGTTGAAAAATGTAGGAAATACAATCCAATATATAAATGTACAGACACACACACAATCTGCGTTTTATAATAAGTAAGATTTAGATTATATTCTACCATTTGTTCATGATTTGAATATTGCTATCACATCTCGTCTGGTGCACCTGCTATATATTTAGAGATTCTTGATAAAATCCCCAAAATCTGCAATATTATTGGTCCTGACCTGGCATCTCAACTCCCATCACATTCCAATAGCTTCCCTGTGCCCTTTTTATACTTTCATGGTAATTGTTCTGATGAACTTTCATCTATAAAACAGTGATGTGCAGAGGTTTGGTGATGAGCAGGGCCAACTCCTAAGACACAAGTAGTGGGGCCTATTGGGCCTAATACAGAGAAATGTGAGAAAGGAAGGCATTTTAAATATGTAAAAACAAATGAAACATGAAATAAACAGTTTATTCAAATCAAATATAATCTCAATTTTTATTTCATTCTTTGATTGGATACCCTCCTGATATATATATATAATAAAAAGGCTTAAACACTAATATTCCATGGTCATAATTTATTTCATTGGAATCGTAAATACAATGCAATTCATCAGACCTACAAATTCAAAAAGAAAACAGAAAAAGGTTTTTTCGTTTTGAATTTGTAGGTCTGATGAATTGGATCGTATTTACAATTCCAATAGAATAAATTATGACAATAGAATATTAGTGTTTAAGCCTTTTTATTATATCCTTACTCTGTCCTGGACATTGATTTCTACCTGGATTCTATCCTCTTGGAATTATTTTTTATACAAATATATATGTAGGTGTATGTATGTATGTATATATATTTATACATTTTAGATATATGATTGCATATCTATGTGTATATTTACCACTAATATTATATATATATATATATATACACACACACACACACACATACATACTGTTCAATGGTCAAGTTTGCTTTCATTTGTTCTTTAATATGGTAGCAGTGTTGTTACCTCACTTTGGCATTTTTTTACATTGTAAAGTTAGTTTATGAACCAGTAACAAAGAGCTATAAAGAGCAGAGAATTATGGATATCCACAATTGCCTATGTCCTGAAGGGATATGGCACAAATGAGGGCAACAAACTTTTACCAATCTTAAGTTGTTATAAGAGTCCATACAAATATGATTTCAATACAGTATCTGTGTGCATACACAACTTTAAAATTTACTGCTGTGAAAGAGGTAAACAATAAAGTACAGAAAATGCTGAAGTACACATTATATGGGAATATAGTTTCTCTCTGTTTTTCTAGTAATCTTTTTGAGTCTGATCATTGATTGATTCGTTTTCTATGGATTATCAACCCTTTGCAGATTATTTAAAGCCAGAAATTATTTTTAGAATGTTAGAATTATTTTTTGAGATAATGATGATTTAGGGATCCAAAGAGGCACGGTGAAGTAATGGATAGTGGCTTGGATTGAGGAATCAGTGAGCCGAGTTTGAATTCCAGTCAAATCCATTACATTTACTTGCGTGCTAATACTCTTGGGAAAGGTATGAATCCTCTTCTCCCCTCCATCTATCGGTAAATAGCAGAACGGACCCAGTTCTATAGCCTTGGATGGCAACTGGTCTACTGCAGAAAGAAATAGCAACCTATTGCGGGAAAAAATCTGCCTCGTCAGTCATGTATTGAAAGATACATGATCGCCTAAGCATGTATCACACATGGCGCATAACTGACTGATAGTAATCTTCCTAATTAACCAATAACTGGAGGGAGAAGAGGTAGATACCTAATGAGTATTTGATAAACAAACAAGAAATTATAAAGTGGGAGATCAATTTTGTATTACAACCATTATGTAAACTGAACACTCACTTTGGGACCATGGAAATTTCTATCCATTTATATTCCAGAGAATGTAAATAAATTGAAAAAGACATGCATGTGGAGCTAATCAGTATTTAATTTATTGAATTATTTATTTTCTATGGATTATCAACTCTTATTTAAAGCCAGAAAATATTTTTAGGCTGTAAGAATTTCTTTTTTTAGATAATAATGTTTACTAATTTACCCATTGGGGGAGAAGACGAGGAGTCATATCTTTCCAAGGGTATCTGCATATAATTGAATATTCTGAACCCAATGGGAATTGGAAGTTGGCTCTCCGATTAACAATTCCAAACCATTATTCATTACAGCACAAGCACTTGATATTCCCAAACGATCACCCATCTAGGTAATGACCAGGCTCAACATAGCTTAACTTTGGTGATTGTACAGGAATGGGTGTTTCAAACTGATGTGGCTGTAAGCCACTGATCCCTGAAAATACCAAACTATACACTTTGCATATGTATGGTTTCACTCAGCTGCATTTCTTTTTAAAGAACAATGACTCTGAAAATGCTGGCACACATATTTCACCAAAATATGGTTGTTCTCTTGTGTACAGTTGTATGTGCATTTTTAAATTCATGTAAAGTGTCTAAACTTAACAATTTACATAACTGGTTTCTCACTACTGTGTGTTTGCATGTGTCTTTTTAAATTTGATCTTACTGGAAAGGCTGAACCACACACCTCGCAAGAATATGGTTTCTCACCACTGTGTGTTTTTATGTGACGATTCAAATTTGATTTCTGTGAAAATTCTAAACCACATACTTCACACGAATATGGTTTCTCACCAGTGTGTGTGCGCATGTGAATTTTTAAACATGATCTCCGTAAAAATTCTGAACCACACACTTCACATGAATATGGTTTCTCACCGGTGTGAGTTTGCATATGATTTTTTAAAGAGAAACTCCAAGAAAATGCTGAACCACACAATTCACATGTATATGGTTTTTCTCCAGTGTGTGTTCGCATGTGAGATTTTAAATCTGATCTACGTGAATATGCTGAACCACATACTTCACATGTATATGGTTTGTCACCAGTGTGTGTGGGCATGTGTCTTTTTAAATCTGAATTTTCTTTAAATGCTGCACCACACACTTCACATGAATATGGTTTCTCTCCAGTGTGAGTTCTCATGTGTCTTTTAAAACATGATCCCCACAAAAATGTTGAACCACATACGTCACAAGAATATACTTTTTTACTGTGTTTTTGCATATGTAGTTGTAAATGTGACTTCAGTAAAAATGTTGAACCACACTCCTCACAGAAATAGGTTTTCTCATCACTGTGTATCTGTATGTGACGATTTAAATGTGATTTCTGTGAAAATTCCAAACTACACACTTCACATGAATATGGCTTCTCTCCAGTGTGTGTACGCAAGTGAATTTTTAAACATGATCTGCGTGAAAATGCAGAACCACACACTTCACATATATATGGTTTCTCACCAGTGTGTGTTTGCATATGTCTTTGTAAATCTGATTTCTTCTTAAATGTTGCACTACACGCTTTACACGAATGTTGTTTCTCACCAGTGTGTGCTTCCTGGTGATTTTTAAACATGATCTCCATGAAAATGCTGGTCATCAAGAAAATGCTTCATATAGGTGTTTTTGCATATGATTTTTTTTTAAGAACATGAAAATGATGATTTACACACATACATGTTTTTCTCCTGTGTGTGATTGCCTGAAGTTTTATAGTTAATCTGTATATGTTAAACAATATACTTCACATATGAATTTTACCAATATGTGTTTACATGTGTTTGTAAATCACAATTCTTTTTTAAATATCAATGCACTTCAATGAACATGATTTCTGAGTAGTGTGTGTTTATCTGACTTTTTAGTATTAACTTGTCTTTTTAAACATGAAAATGCCAAATCCCACATTTAGCAAGAATATAATTTATCACCAAAATGTTTTTACATGTGCAATCTTGAAATTTGATCTGATCGAAAATGCTGACTCAAAACACTTAAAATAGATATGGCTTTTCTCTTTCCTGCTATCAAGTCCCCAAAAATCCTGATTCTCTTATTTCACATGAATTTGGCTTTTTGTCAGTGCATCAAAGTTTTTAAATTTCATCTCTTTGTACTGAAGTATTCCCTAATTTTTTTTTATCAGTGTGTGTTCACAAGTGATTTTTTTCACCTGAAATCTGAAAATTCTAAAGCACAAACTCCACATGTACATATTTTTTTCTTGTGATTATTTTGAACAATATACTTCACATAGATATGGAATTTTACTGGTGTGTATTTGCACGTGTCTGGAAATTTGAATTCTTTTTCAATGCTGAATCTTACACTGCATATGAATATGACTTCTCATCAGTGTGTTCATATGTCATTTATTTGATGATTCTTCTTAAATGCTTAATGACTCTTTTCACATAAATATGGCTTCTCACCAGTGAGTTCAAATGTACCATTCTAATTTATGATCCTCATTAAAATGCTGAATCATGCATTTCACTTGGTTGCTTATTAGTGTGTTTGCATGTTACAAATTAAATGTGATTCCTGTGAAAATTTGAAATCAACTCACTTCTTTTTTTTCCAAAATTTTCATTTAGTGTGAACAAGATTATGATATCAAAAATAATTTCTTTTTGTCCAATGTTATTTTGATTTTCATGAACCACAAATTCAAAACATAGATATTATCTTAAATATATATTTTCACATTCTGCACTTAATTTATACATAAATACACATTTATAAATCTACCATTCATTCATCCATGCATTGAATATTGCTGCCACAGCTTGTCTGGCGCTCCTGCTGTATATTCAGAGATTCTTGATAAAATCCAAAGAATCTGCAATGTTATCAGTCCTAACCTGGTATCTCAGTTTCAGTCACTTTCCCACTGCCATAATGTAGCTTCCCTGTGCCTTTTCTATAAATATTTTCAAGGAAATTTTGCTGATGAGCTTTCCTCTTTAGTACCTCAACATTATGAATTTAAGCAAAGTACTAGATTGACAGCTGGGTCTCATCATTTTACAGATGAAATTGCTAGATGTAACCATAAGTTCTAGACAGTTTTTTCTCACTTCTGTTTTGTGGAATTCTTTTCCAGCTTCTTGTCTTTCTGTCAACTTTGATCTTTAAAAATCTAAATACAGTGTTAATAGTTATCTTCTGTCTTCATAATTCCTGTTTTCTTATAGTTCTCTCTGCTTAATAATGTTTTAGCTTTTTTTAATTCTTTCACATTCACTGCTTGCGTCTTAGTGGCTTTATTGCTTTGAAATGATTATCCAAGTTTCTCTTACATTATTTATATAAAGTTGTCAGCAGAGTTGATTTGTTTCCCATCAGAATTTAGATCTCTGAAAGTAGAAGAGGTAATTAAACATTATATAGTGGTGCAATATTCTCAATTAAAAATTTATACATTTTGGAGTTCAATGAATTCCAGTATATTTTCTTACACATTTCAAGTCATAAATTGTATTCAAACAAATTAGCAATGATTATTTTTTCTAACAATATGACTTTTCACACATCCTCAGGAGATAGATTCCTTTTTCTTTTACTTCAATTTAATTACCAGAGTTTCTTAGGAATATCATCTCCAGTCCATCTTAAGTCAATTCAATGACCAGAGTTTTCAGGAACCCTGTCTCCAGCCCAATTTTGAATTGGCAAACATAAAATTTTGTTAGTAATTTTAGATAATCATAAAAGTAGAGTTCTCTGAAAATCTTACCACCCAAAAGCTGAATGGGTGGTCTCCTTTTCCAGAACATAAGTGGAGGGATAGGGCTAGTGAGACTCCAGCCTGTGTTCATATAATGAGTAGTCAGTGACAGTCAGTCAATGAGGAAGAGACCAGCGAGGAATTAGCAGCCACCAAGATGGTCAGTGAATTTAAGGATCCTCTTTCCATGGCTGGAAGTTGGTAAGTTCCCCTTCTAAGCCAAAGAAAGATATTGCCAATTAAGTGAGGCATTGTATTTGTTGTGACCAAGTAAATGGTTAAAGAAATAACAAAACAAGTGTTGCAGATATATCATATATTAAACAGTAAATACAACAGAAGTGAATGTGTGTAGGTTGACCTGGCATTCACTCTATTCAACTGTTCCCCCAAGGCCTTCTCTCCTACTAATTTTATAGTAGGCAGAAGAGTCCAACATAGACTCTTTAGGAGGGAGGATACCACAAAAGTATTGTTTGCTATTTCCCAATCAGTGTCTTAAAAAGCACTTGTCATTATTCTTTGTTGAATTCAACCAAACTTGTGAACATAGCAAGTGTATATGCATACATAGCCAACATTGTCATCAGAGTTATGCAGTGACAGACGTGCAGAGGCATCGTCACGTTTTACAATTATATTTTCTGACAACAAATATAAATCACAATTGATCCAAATTTTGAAAACAAATCATCCTGTATCTATTTAATGTAATAATTTTTTTTTTATATCAGATTTTTCTTCACATCCCTTCATTTTTAATGAAAATCACATCCCTTCATTTTTAATGAAAATCACATCCCTTCATTTTGAAAATCAAATGTAAACCTATATCTATGGACTGCCACACACATTTTTAAAAATTACTTCTTAAAAAAATAAATAAAAAATACTAACAGAAGTTTTTCCTTCGTTGTACAAACTGTCATCGATTAATAAGTGCATAAAGCTGGCTAAAACATCTTTCTCTGTGGATAGGTTGACTGAGAAGTAATGAAAGCAACAAGATTATTTCTTAATGTTCCTTCCATACAAACAAATTGGTTGACTGATTCATTTTCTATGGCTTTGCAGGTTATTTAAAGCCAGAAAATATTTTTAGATTGCAAGACTTTTTTTAAGTTAATAACAGTTTAGTGATACAAATCTTACTAATTAACCCATACCTGGAGGGGAAAAAAAACACTAAATTCATTTCTAATCAGAATTTGATAGACAAGAAATTATAATGTGAATATAAAGTGGGGATCAATTCTAGATTACAATCAATATGTAAACTGATCCCTCACTTTGAGATGATGGTAGTTGAATGTAAATAAATCTGAGAGACATGCCTATGTAACTAATCAGTATTTCATTGATTGATTCATTTTATACAGGTTGGTTTGTTTTTTTTTTTTGTTTTTTTTTGTTTTACAGCATATTAACCTCAATGGGTTATTTAATGCCGACAAAATTTTTATTGCTGGTAATATTTTGTTTTGTCAAAAATCTATTTCTGGTAATATTTTTCTTTCAAAAACGTATTGTTGGTAATATTTTTTTTTCTCAATGTATTGCTGGTAATGTTTTTTTTTTCTTCAAAAATTTATTGCTGGTGATAAATTTTTTAAAAGTATTTCTGGTATTAAAACCTACATTTACAATTTCATAGTGTTTTTACCCCAGTTTCGAGATTAACTATT